GTGCTTAGCATGCGTGCAGTCCTGGGTTCAATCCCTAGTACTTCCATTTAAATGCATACATACATACATACCTGATTACCTCCCCCTAAACAAAACAAATAAATAAAAACAAGTGAGATCTTTCATAATACTGTGTCCTTAGGGTTTGGATTATTAAAGGTGTCCATAAATTGATATTTTAATCCATCCAGATTCTCTGATTCAGGTTGTCTGATTCAAATCTGATCAGCTATCTTTCCATGGACCTTTTCCACATATATTCTGGGAACATTCAAGAGATACAGCGATCTTACATTGAAAGGAATGATGGATTTCGTTAGTACAGGCTGACTCCAAATTTGGTCATGCATGTCACTTAAAAATTGCCCCCCAAAATTTTTGATAATTTCATTTTTCTCACAACTTTACCTCTTCATTGATGAACAAGTTGCAAGGGTTTGTGGAGTGATTCTGACTTTGCCAGCATGCCTGAGGGTTGAGGGTTGGGCTTTGTTGGGAAACTGATCAAAAAGATGGATCAATCAGCACGACTTCTTAGCCAGTGTTTGAGTAGGATACCCAGTGGGATTGATACCAGGGATCTCTGTTTAATCTTGCTGTGAAGTAGATTCATGTATTTTTCCTGCAGAAGTGTTGACATTCAACAGGTGGCACCTCTCCCCTGACCTCTGATACTCTGATAGTACTGTTTTTTACTCCAAGTTAATTCACAGCTGTCATCTGGATGATCAGGTACTAGTTATGGCAATGCTAGATCAAAGGATATATTTTTACATATTTAGTAGATTAAAGCCAGGTTATCCTCTGAAAACCTAATTTACATTCCCACCAAGAGTGTATGGGATTGCCCATTCCCTTATCAAAAGTGGTAATTATCAATATTTTAATCTTTGCTATTCTGAAAGTAAAGAATAGCATCAGTTTATTGCTTTGGCTTGCATTTCTTCATCAGTGAGTATGAATGTCTTGTTACAAATTTACTGCCCATATGTATTTCTTCCTCCCCATTCATTTCTTCTAGATTTTTTACTGTTACCTGTTTAAACTTCAGGGAAATTAGCACTTTCCTCCAAATTTATGATCTGTCTTTTGGCCTTGTTTATAATCATTTTGGCCACAAAGAAGTTTAATTTTACAGAGGGAAATTTGTTCCTCTTATCTTACCCTTTTAATTAATCTAAAGGCTCCTGAACTTTGTCATGCTTAGAAAGATCTCCCCACTATCTAACTGTGACCCACATAGTCTCCTAGTATTTTATTTATTTTATTTATTTTTTCTCCTAGTATTTTAATGGTTTCATCATTACACTGAAATCTTTGCTCCATCTGGATTATGTTGGTGTCAGGCATGGGGTAGCACTCCAGCTTTATTTCCTTTTCCAGGTGGCAAGTCAGTTGTCTCAGCATTATTTATTAAGTACCCCATCTTTTGTGCACCTATTGGAAAGACATCTTTATCTGGACTTGATCTTAAACGTTCCGCTTAGTAACGTGTCTGACAACTGCGAGCTATGACTGGGAGGCCCTCTCTACATCTTATGGGAAGGTTCATGTTTGGTCCAGTAAAACTCAGGTATTGAAGGGTAAGGAAAAGGTGCAGAGGGACAGGATTAGAAACCATGTAGTTTGGGGGTGATGACGGAAGGTGAGCATCAGGTGCTTTGGCCCCAGGGAGGACCAACCCCCACTGTTCCCACGTTCTTGCTCGAATCACACACCAGCACAGGGCTGACAGTGCAGCTGAGCCATAAAAATGCTGAATCGGGAGGGGAGAGATTTGTTTTCTAACGGCTTTGTTTCTGTGCTGTTGGCCTAAGCCTCTTAATAAGCAGGAGTGTACTTTTTTCCACCAAAGAACGTGTAAGCGGAACAACTCTAGTTAAAGCTGGTGTCAAGTCTCCTTGGCCCCTCCTCCAGCAGCCCTGGGATCTCTGCTCTGAGCTCAGAGGCCCACGTGGGGAGCACAGTGTGCAGACCCTGAGCCTGAGAACTCCAGCTCAAAAACAGCCAACCAAGAAGAGGCACCACATTTGTAAGATTGGCAAGGGTGTTTTATGGGGTGGGTACTCTATAAAGAAAAGAGCCTTATATGAGTTCTTCCTGGCTGCCAGTTAACCACCAAGGACAGGAAATTTCACATCCACTCCCAGGAGGAGAGCTGGAGTGAATACCCTTCCCAAACCATCCCCCGTGGGATTTCTTACCACCCCGTCCCCATCCCTCTGGCAGTGCCCACCAGGTGCTTTGGAGCAAGTCATTCTGTATATTTTTTAAGTTTTTTACTCCAGCTTTACTGAGATATAATTGACATATATCATTGCATAAGTTTAAGGTAAAAGTGTTGATTTGATACACTTACATATTGCAAAATGATCACACCATAATGTTAACTAACACCTGCATCACATCACAAAATTACTATTTCTACAAAAGGTTCTTTTGGACATGACTGGTGTTCCTCTTGTTTTTCAGCTTTATGATGGCCTGAGAGAAAATTTGCTCCAGGACACTTTTTTTTTTTTTTAGTTAATGATTCAAGCATCACCTGAACAGATCAATTGTAGTAACAAAACACCATTGCAATTATATAGTGTCCTTGCATGTTCCAAGGACACAGCCGCCCAGAAAATTCTTAGCAGTGGTCTGAAGAATTTGCATTAATCTGAAGCCAAGCTCTCGAGAAGCTGTGTGCATTTAGGAAACAGGCTGCAAATTAATGAACCCTCCGAGCGCATTGCCCCAGCCTGGCCTTGCTCCCTGCAGCACAAATGCTAAATCAATAGCTTGCTTATTGTGACTCTCAGCCTGCTCGCTTTTTTCTCTCTCAGATCAGCTTGGTGAGGCTTTTTCCTTAGTGTTAACTCAGAGATTGCTTGTAAAGTGTGGGTTAAATATGCAAAGAAAGTAATTTTTATTCTCGGGTTTGGAAAATAACTGAGCCACTTTTGGCAGATCTTTGATGTTTTCAGATATGCTAGGGAGAGATGTTCTAGAGCCTTATTCTCCAGGCTAGCGATTATGTAAGGTTAAAATGTTGTTTTAGTGTATAAATGCAGAGAAAAAAGGGCTGGACAGATACACACCAAGCTGAAAGGGAGGACATCTGGGGAAAGGAATGTGTTGGGGAGGACATGGAAGAGGGAATAGGTTTATGTGTCTATATTCCTTACAGTGCAAATGTGTTTTTATTACATCAGTGCATAATGAAAAATTAAAACAAATTTTATTCTAGTCAGCAGCATGCATTCTGCTATGGCCCACACAAGAAAAATAACCCCAGTCCTCTCTTAGGCTCACTTAGTAGGCTCATCACTCCCTGTCTTTTTAAACCTCTTCTTGATACAGAACTTCTTGCAAGTTTAATTTTTGTAATAAACCTGCTTGTTTGCTGACTTGTAACAAGGGGCAGAGTCCTTCCCTGGGCCCCGGATCCCATGCCCCGAGTCTAAGGTGCATTGCTTCCCAGTGCCACATGGGCAGGGACTGCTGCTTGGTGAACATTAATTCAGGCCAAGGGCGTTGGGAGGCTGGAAGGAGTTTGCGGGATGCCGTTGGAGAGGATGAAATCCCCATGCTCGCTAGACAGAGCGCCCCTGGAATAAGAAACACTCGTGTCCCTACACGTGGTGTCATCCTGCTCAGCCCCAGACGATCCCTGCTGCCAGGACGATCATTGCACTCCCAGATTTACCTAACCTGTTGAGTGCCTGCCTTACGTTCGCTGTTGAACCAGCTAAAGTCCAAAGTTAACTCTAATTCCTTGACTAACATTCAACTTAAACAAAAAACACACACAAAAAAGAAAAAGCCATTTTAAATGGAAAACCTCTTGATTTGATTTTTTTTTCCCTGTTTTATTTGGTAAGCTAAATTATCCAGTCTTTAGTGGCTAGGGATAGTTATTTTCTTGTGTTTTGTTTTATGTTAAACATGGAGCAGAGCTTGACCTTCCCCCAGGACAGACAATTAGCTAATTAACGCTGGGTACTGAGTATGCCACAAAGTAAACTAAAATACTTCAAGTCATTTCTAGAATGAAGCAAGGCCCAAGAGATAAATACTCTTAAGACTGGTTGGCTGAAGATAGCTAGCATTTAATAACTCTTTGTGATCCCCTTATGACAAGATTAGAGTCAGCTACTACAAAAACACGCATGGATTTTCTGGTTAACACACAGCACGTGGATTAAAGGAGACGGGGACTCCAAGGGATAAAAATTCACATTCATTCACTATTACACCCCTGTGGGCCCGGCACAAGGCAGGGCCCTGGACCTGGACCAGTTTCATATCTGTTTCCTATTGTTGGAGGTCACTTTGAATTGCATTTTGCCGATGGTTCTATAGTTTCTCTTAAAAGTTTTTTTGAAAATGTTAGTCACTAGGGGCAAAAAAACCCAACAACAACCATGGTCCAGTGTAGCTCTAAAATATACTCATATACCACAATGAATTTCAGATGAAATATCACCCCAGAACATGGGCCTGCATAGTTGGAGTAGCTATTATAATTAAACATTTGTTTCCATATAATAACAATAGCCACCGCATTTGTGCCAGGCAGAATGTTAGGTGTTGCCATTACAGCTGACAACAGCCTTTCAGCTCACAGCCAAGGGACTGAGCTGATACTCAAACTCAGGTTTGTCTGGTTCCAAAGCCCAGGACCTCATCATACCCCTTCAGACAACGGCACTGTGTTTGGTTAAACTTCATTTGCTAACTATTTATTCTTACTGTCTTTAATAAAATCCCATGATGTGCTTGACCAGGCATTTAAAATGTTTGGTTTCGTTTATAATCTCATAGACATAGTATCACAGAAAAATAAGGGAATTGGTTTGTCTTTTACATGAAGGTAATAACATTGATTTTTTTCCCCCTTTAGCCACCAGCTAAATACCTCCTCCCAGAGGTCACGGTGCTTGACTATGGAAAGAAATGTGTGGTCATTGATTTAGATGAAACATTGGTGCACAGTTCATTTAAGGTAAATCAACATAAAAACTAATCAGTGATCTTTGTGGTTTGGTCACAATTGTATTGGAAAAGGGAAAATACAAAGGATGAAAGCTTGTGATTGTTGGCATGTGACTTCATGAAGAAATCGCAGTAACAGTTGCTTATTAACTCAGGTGGTTAACCCGGGTAGTTGAATATTAACATAATTAGTCTGGAGGAAAAAACACACTGAGACTCCATTCTTATCTATGAGGTTGAGTTTTCGAACACTCTACCCCCTGCAGAGATACTTTCCAGGTGGCACAAGGCAGTCAGTGCACCAGGTCCCCGGGACACTGCCGTGTGTTCGTCAAGGTAACTGCAGAGCTGTATGTGCTGTGAGTTGCACTGCCCTGTGGAAAACTGTCAGGCGACCTGCAATCCTGGGAATTTTCCCAGACTGAGTCTTGGAAGATGGCCAGCTCTGAAGACGACTTCCACAGTTATGGCATCTGAACGGATTCAGCCATTTCTTTGGGCCGTTTTCATGATGAGAGGTCACTAGGGATTTTTCATAAGCTTCACGGCTAAATGAGCATCCACCTGCGTGCCCTCCCACCTGGCAGGTGCAGGGCTGCAGCAACATCACGGTGAGGTCTGACTGTCTCACGTCCATTGCCTTCCTTGCTCTCCGTCTCCATCTCCCCACCAGAGTAACAGCAGAAATACAGGTTACCCAGAGGCCTCCAGGCAGAAAAGGCTATGGCTTCACTACTAAGGAATGAGTGAATTGATCACTTTCCCATTTTTTGAAGTTGTTTCAAAGAAGCAGTTGATGGGAAAATGGGGAAATAGGGGATTGGTGTGTTGGGGAGAAGAAGCAGGTGTTGGGGTCCTGGTCCTGTTTCCCTTGGGGTGTTTCTGGTGTTGGAAGTGCTCTTCTGTTCCTGGCCAGTTGGACCATGTTCCTCTTCCACCCCCAGCCTGTGACCTACCTCGCTTTGCTGAGACATGAGGGCACCATCTGCATGTGGAGTATGTGTCTTGCACCACCCGGTCCTTCCTTGGCAGATGTGTGGGAAGAAGGAGAACCATCAGATTTTCTTGGAGACCTTTCTGCCAGAAACATCCGTCCTTGTGCCTGCTTCTCACTAAACAGACTCCTCCTTGACAGGACAAGGCCAGGCGGTTGTCCCAGAGTCCTTTGGAGAGTGGAGGGGGCCACCCTTACGTCTGGCAGTGACAAATGGCCTGTCCGGCCACTGGGGCCTGTGGGTACCATTCATCCCAGTGTCTTGAGGGTCCTTCCAGGATCGGTCCCCAGGGCTGCAGTGATCTTATTTCTCAGTTCAACTCTGAACAGCACTGGCAGCCTGCTTCCCCCTGTGAGCGGAATGCTCAGGACTTTTCGAGTCCCTCAGAGGGAAAGCCCTTTAGAGCAGGGGTCAGTTGCCATCATAGCATGGACAGCTTTCCCTCCCAGCAGCTCTGGGTGTGTGGGCATCGCTGGCCAGATCCCTGAGTAACAGGGTTCCTGGCTTCGAAGGCGTCTCCAGGGCCTGTTCAGAGGGTGTTGGTGCAACAGGCTCATATGAACAGCATCTCTCCATTTCTTTCCTCCCTGGTCTACCTACATTTGCAAGCAAAATATTCATCATATGGTTTTTAATGTTCTGGGCATTTCAGAGCCCTAGGAGAATCCAAAAGCCGTGAACCTCTCTCCTTGCAGCTGTACAGCTGTACAACACACAGGCCCACAAGCCCAGGTTTAGAACCCTGGCTTTGGCCTGGCCTCATTTACACCCGTGCATGAGAAGAGACAGAGGGCAGGTGCTTGTTCGGAGCTGGGGAGTGGTTTCCCTCTTGTTACACGCTGTGGAATATGATTTCACAATCTGATGTCTTGTGAGAGTTTCTTCCTTCAGTCTTGTTTTCTAGCCTGATTCTGTCTTTTAGTTGTGAAATTTCAAGAGACTGAACCCATCCCTAGCCTTCCAACCGTAAGAGTGAATAAACTACAATCTTAAGCCTCGAGTGCTCTACAAACTGCTTAGTAAGGGTTCTGTGATCTAGTCATTTCCACTTTTTTTGCAGTTTGCATATCAAAGAACCACGTGTGTGTACAGTGATGGGCTTAAAGGCAGACCCCAATTCAGATTCTGATCAGAGACTGTTCCCCCCACGCCCCTGCCGAGGGGCCCCCACACACGTGCCCTCCTTCCCTCTGTCTCTCTCCTGCTTGTCCCAAAGGTTTGTGGTCTGATGATTTGAATTTTCAGCATCATTAATATTGTCAAAGAGTTATTTTAAATATGCAGAAGTTTGTGAGTGGGCTGGATATGGTATTACCTAGAGCAGAGCAGTCTGGGGGATGTGGGGTTGGGGGGACTGGCTTTCCCCACCCCCCAGGGCAGGAGGTGGTGCCAGGCGAGGCCCAAAATCACTGCTGTGTAGGACTGGATGGAGCATGTGCGCTCATCAGACCCATTGCTAAAGCTTTGGAAGAGAGGAGGAACCAAGATCCAGAGGGGAGAGAGCCTGCCAGGATCGTGGCTGTGGCCTCTGACTTCAGCCCGCAGATCTGTGGCCCCACTTCGGGTCCGTGTACCGATCATCTGTCAAGCGGCCCCTCACAGTGCAGTCTGCTCTAGTGGGTCCAGCACAAAGTATTTTCCCCCAAGTTGCGCTGTCAGGCTCTCAGCTCCTCCCCCTAGTGGCCAGCAGTGGTTCCTGCCGTCCTGTCGGGGCCACAGGCAAGAGCGGTAGTTTGAGGAGCCCCGTTCCCAAGCCAGGTGCACCACCCTTTGTGGGGCCAGGCAGGTGATTAAAGAGTGTGGACCAAGATGCTGAAAATGTAACGATATTCAGAACAGAAAATCATAGGCTTTCCTGCTTGTGCTTATATTTTTTTGAGGAACCAAGGCATGTGTCAACATCCTGAACTGTTTTTTCCAATGATAAAAACATTGGTCCAGGCAAGCTTTTTTTCTTGCTAAAATTTCCTATTTTGTTTTGTTCTTTCAGACATATTAATCATAGTTTCTTTTCTCTCCAGCCTATTAGTAATGCTGATTTTATTGTTCCTGTTGAAATCGATGGAACTATACATCAGGTAAGAAATCAAAGCTAAATCTTGAGTTTCAAGTTAGCATTTTTTAGTAATTAATTTCCTATGAACTTTATTTCTAAATTCTCAATTCAGTAATGATTTTATTACTGAATCAAAAAGGAAGCAGACTTTATTTTAAAACGCAATGATCTTCTGCTTTTTTTTCCCTACTCGGAGGAAATTTATACTGAGTTTATAAGGGAGACTATAATTGGCTTGTTAATATTAGATGTGATTGCAAGTTCAAATAGTTCTTTGATTTGATGCAGACTTTTAGAAGTTTCCATATCCCCCACTGGCCTAGCTTGATGGTCTAATTAACTTCCCCATGTAATTGCTCTCGGCCACTCTCCTACCAGGCAACAGGAAATGTCACATGTCACCCAGTTATGGTAGATTCTCGCGAAAACTTGTCTGTTTCCAATGCCAGCCATTCCAGGCTGATCTTGTCGCTCCTGCATCGTGTTCTCCAGTGAATATTTAGCAAGAACCCAACCCAAAAGGGCAAGGAGGAAGGGTGTGTGTTTTTGGATCAGCAGGCAGCTTTGAATAAAGATGCCCTAGTCAGTTGGCATGCATCCTTGTTCTGATATTTTTTTTTCCTTATTTTCCTTTTTTCTGCATGAAGCTCCTCCAGGAATAGTTTCGTTTATGAAATATTGGAAACGTCATAGGAAAACATTGTAGGCTTTCCACCAGGGTGATCCGGTCATCTTCCTTGTCAACCCCAAGGTCTTAAAGGGAGAGTCTCTGGCCTGATTTGTTTATGTCCCAGGAGGAAAACCCTCCCTTGGTGCTTGAGCCGTAACGTATTGTCTTTCCTTAATGATGCCAGTAGTCTCTTTGGCCCTTGAGTGCAGGGTGTCAGAACAGTGAGGCCTTGGGAAATCAGCTGGTCCAGCCAACTCATTGTCCACCTGGGGAAACTGAGTCTCAGTCAGAGAGAGGGTTGGTTCAAGGTCATACAATAGGAAGAATTAAAATGAGAGCTCCAGTTTCCTGCCCCTGACCCAGGGTTCTTTTCCTGAGTCCTTCTCCTCCTCTGCCAGGAGGTCCTGCCAGGAACCCATCCCTGGGAAAGGCAGCTCTGTCCATAGTGTCTCCACACTTCATGCTTTTGAAGGCCATCAGGGAGCCAGAATGGCAGGCACTTGGGCATTTAACATTTGCAGAAGCATCGGCTGAATTAACTCAGCATCTGAGAAGCAGTTAAAGCTTCTGCTTTTATTATCTTGGCTCGTGTTGCAAGATAATGAGACAGAGGAGAGGCTGCCCACTGGCATGACAGGAATTCAGAGAGAAATTAATCCTTCGTTCCTCCTGACTGTGAGCATGGCCCTTGGGGCCTGACCTGCTCTGGCCAGCCCGTTTCCAAAGGAGCCGCCCAGCTCCCCCAGCCCTCCGGACTGTGCTACAATTCACTTGGCGGTAAATACCCCAAAACTGGGGTCAGAAACTCTCTCTCCTGAGGGAATGAAGCCACAGGCGCCCAGAGGAGGACCAAGGCCCTGGCGAAGGCCGTGGCCTCGTTCAAGTAATCCAGGATAGGCTGTGCAGGTCCCAAGGGGCCTATTCTTGGTTACTTGCACGCGGACGCGGGCCTGGATGCTGGCCTCTGGGCCCAGGACCCTCCTCTCTGCCAGAGGCACCGACACCAGTGTTCCCAAACCAGTCCCCTGCCCTCGCACATAGCAAAGCTTGCTTTCGGAGCAGTATCCCAGGGAGACTGAGGACCACAGGCCGCTTCTGTTCCTGGCACCAAGCGTCTCGTGGGCAAAGTGGGGGGCCTGGAGCTCCTGCAGCCGCAGGCCCTGTCCTCTGCCCCCACCCAGGCCTCCCAACTCCTTGGAGCCCTGTTGGCACCCACCCTAGACCATCCTACCTCTCTGGCGCCTCTCTCCATCCTCGGCTGCACACCCTTTCAGTCAGCCACAAGTTTCCCAGCAAGTCATGCCTCTGTGTAAGTTCCTCTGCCAGCAGCACATCCTCTGTGTGGGGCAGGGGCCCCGTTTCCCTCTGTTACTCGTCCTTTGGGGTAACTTCATCTGCCGTTCCTGGCCCCAAGTGTTCTCACCCTGACCTGCCTTTCACACTTCATCTTCAGCCTCCTCTTCTATCCCTAGTGCCCGCTCTTTTATTACCACCTCTGAAGGGCTTCTCATGCTGGGCTCTGGCCATTCTCTTAACACCCCAAGTATTTTCAGGCCAAGTCTCCTGCTCATACTGTTTACTCTGCCTACAAGCTCACTTCTCATCCTTATTGGCCTGGTGAACTCCTCTTCATCCTTCAAGGTCCAGACCAAATGGTCCCTTCTGTGATTCCCTTCCCTTCAGAGGGGAGTTAATTGTCCTTAGTGTATCCCTGTACTACAGCTTTCATTGCGCATGTTTATTTTGATGTATTTTTCTGTATATCTGCTCTAGACTGTGAGCTCTTCAAGGGCAAGGCCTGTGTTTCATTCATCTTTGTAACCGCTTCAGGCTGAGCCCAGAGCTGGGGCTCAGCGAATATGAATTGAATTGAATTTTAACAAGTTCAAATTATTTTAGGGAAATGGCTAAGTTCAAATGGAATTTATTCAAGTTTTAATTAGGTCTTCCCTCCTCCCACCTCCTCTGCCTTTTCTCCCAGCTCCCTTGATTCCTCAGATCCTTTCAAGCCCCCGAATCAGGAGCAGAGCTCAGCCACTCTAGGAGAGGGTGCTGCTCTTTGTACCCCATGATTGGAGGCTCCTCCTGATGGCTCGTTTCTGGGGCCTGGGAGTAGGCTGGCTTCACATCCCCTGAAATAGATGTTTCTGTAGTAGATCCAAGCAGAGTTACCTTTGTTGTGATTTCCCAAGCCTACGAGGAAGGACCTTCCTGCAGCTTTGCTGGGCCTGCGCCTCGGCCCCAGGCCTTTCTAGCAAGGGAGGGGTTCCAGTCAGAGTAGGAGAGCGGCCCCAGACCTGCGGGGCAACAGGCCAGGCCCTGACCTCCGCCAAAACTACTACCCCAGATTATGGCCTGTGTCCACAAACGGCCTGACCCAGAGCCTGTGCCAAGAAACACGTGTGCAATGGAGTCGTGGCACAACCCTTCCACGTGCTGGTTCTGAACCCCCAAGACCCTTGATAGCTGGTTGGCTTCCCTTTCTCTCTTGGGAGGGGCATCTGCTCTGAACTCTGACCTGGAGCCCAGTCTGAGGTGTGTGTCTGGCCTAAGGCACCACGTGTGACTACACCGCTCCTCACACAGACCTCACTAGACCTGGGGGCGGGGGGCGGGAACCTCGTTAGGAATTCTTTCTGACACAGGGCGTCTTGGCCCCAGGCCATCCCCAGGGACTGCTGTGACTGACCAGCATGCTGTCCCTGCCTTTGCAGGTGTATGTGCTGAAGCGACCACATGTGGATGAGTTCCTCCAGAGGATGGGGCAGCTCTTCGAGTGCGTGCTCTTTACTGCCAGCCTGGCCAAGGTGGGTCCCGCCCCAGCACCCAGCCCAGTGCCCCCAGCCCTTCCACCCCTGCCCCGTCTGTTAAGCAGCCCTGTGTTAAGGTGGGGGAAGCTGTTTCCATGGTGACAGGTTCCCACGCCAGGTGGGATGGATGCAGGCCATGCACAGTACCAGCCTGAAAGGCTCCTAGGTTACCATAGTGACAGGAGCACAGGGAACAAATGCTCTGGGAAGTTGGTGACTACAGCCACTGAGGCTGGTTGTCCACAGACCAGGAAATCACACATGTGTCCCCAAGAAAGGGTGTCCGCATCTCCTCTGTTGACTGGCAGCCAAACGCTAGAGGCTCACGCCTCCGTGCTCTTGAGTTCTCTTACATAGGTTTCAGGGAGAGGTAAGTGTCAAAGAGTCATCCACCTGCTAGGGCCGAATGAGAGTTCTGACTGCCATAACAAGCCCTGGGACCTCAGGCAAGGTCCTTTTCTTGCCTTAGTTTCTTCTATAAGATGGAGGTAATTCTGTCTACTTCATGGGTTGGGGCAAATGGAATAACACCCATAAGCAGCTTAGCAAAGTGGCCAACTCGTATTCAGCCCCTGCGGTGTTCTGGGTGCTGTGTTGGGCGCTGTACCGCGTTAAGTGCACCAGCCGTCCATTGTTTATGGCCGTCATTGTTCGTGGCGGTAAAATAACTCACACACATCTTGGTCCTGTGGCTTGGTTTGCATCTCTGACCCAGCGTCTACACTGGCTCTGACCAAAGAGTGGTTTCTTTGCTCTCTCCCACTATTTGAGGGAACAAGCAGGTCCGCAAGCCCCCAATATGGTCTAGTCTGTCTTTTGACAGGTGTGCTAGGTGCCCGCACTGTGTGAAGGGCAGGCAGGCAGGCCTTGCTCCTCAGGAGAGATCCTTACTGTGACTGTGTCTCAGGCCCTGACCCTGATGGGGTCAACACCATTCATTTGTTGGCGGCACCACCAGGGACCCTGAGTGGCCCGAAAAATGAACTTTGTGGGGCCCAGGTGAGCCTTCTACCTGTCTCCAGAACTGCTCCAGGACCCCCATGTTCTGTCCCTGTGTGGCGCCCGCCTTCTCTGCATGACGGGGGCCCTGACTCTGCGTTCCCAGACATGCTGTTTTGCCAGGCAGGGCCTTGCTGGTCTGGGCCCCTGTCATGCCCAAGGGGAGAGAGAACCCCACCTGCTCACGTTCTGCCAGGCTGTGCAGCATGAGCCCATGGAGAGGGAATCCGAAGCCCGGGCCTGACTTTTGCATCCTAAAAAGAGACCGTGGCCTTAGGAAAGGCATAATCTTCCCTGATGGATTTCCTCTCCGATGAGCGGTGCCAAGACTAACTGTGCCGTAGTGCCCAGGTGCCGGGGAGCCTGATAACCAAGGAAATGACAAACAGGAAGTTTGCGTGGTGCCAGGTGGATGGAAAGTTGTCTTTTCTTGGCCAAAATGGAAATCACTCTTCCTTGGCATCATCCCCAGCACTCGCTTAAACATCCTCGTTCAGTCTCTCTTCCTGGACGGCTCCCACCTGCCCCTCCATCTGTCTCTCTAACCTCTCTGTCTCTGCTGCTCCAGGCCGGCTTTGCCGAATCAGCCCCCAGTGCAGCCTTCCGGCTGCTTTTCCCCCTGGTGCACGAGTTCAGCTGACAAGTGGGCACACCCCAGCCCTTGGCTCTGGGCTCAGCACCCAGCCAGCACCATCAGTGCAGTGGACCTCCTGGCCCGCCACCCAGGGGCTCACAGCAGCTCTCAGCTGACTGTCCGAGCCCTTCAGTGTCTGCTTCCTCACCTTGGTTTCCTTCATTCATTCACTCACCTAGCAAGTACATACTTCACACCTACCATGAGTCAGGCACTGTACTAGGCACCAGGGGTATAGCAGGGGACAAAAGAGGCAGCCTCTGCCTGCATGAAGTTTACATTCCCCACGTTCATCTCTGAGGCCCAACCTGAGACATTCCCTGAAGGATGTATGCCACCGCCGGCAGTGCTGATGACGATTAGGAAATTAACTGTCCTTTCCAGCTTGAGTCACAGCCCCTTGTAACCCACCCACATGGCGCTTGGCAGCCCTCACCAGCAGAAAACTGCAGTGCCCTGAGCTCACCCTACTTGGTCAGCATGAAATCCAGGCTGCTCCTGAACTCTGCTCCATCTGATGTGTCTGGAGAGAGGACTTTCCCGTGGTCCCAGAGCTGCTGCTTGTAGCCCTGTATCCTGTAGCCCTGCCGGCCTTTGCTCTGCACTCAGGCCGCTGTGCGCTCCACTGCTGGCCTCCCACCCCCACCAGCCTCCGGTGCCTCCTTCCTCCCTGGCAGAGGCTTTGGGCCCCTTGGGACACCTGGATGTACCCCTCACTTGGGTTTGGGTGCTGAGGCATGGCCTCATGTGACCTCACATGGCTTGGAACTGCCACTCTTCTGCCTTTTGGCCCAGCCATTCAGACATCTTCACTTACGGAGATTTGCCCTCAGGCATTATTTTTTATCCAGTTCAGCTTGTTTGGGGAAAAATTCCCCAGGCAATGGAAGGGAGCCAAGCAAGATGAATCCCAACTGTAAGCAGGACTCAGACTCTCTCCCATCAAACTCCTGGGCTCCAAGTAAATAGAGGTGGTGTCTTGAGTACCATCCTGTGGCAGTGAGGGGCTGGTCCGGCCCGGCCACCCAGAGCACCTCTAGGGGGCAGTGTGGTCCTGTGCACACAAGCCAGATCCCAAGTCCCCTCTTCGTTCATTGATGGAACTCAAATTTACTGATCCCCTACCATGAGGTGGGCACCTGCCAGTTGCTGGGGTGTCATGGGGAACACAACAGGCAAAACCTAGGTCCTGACAGGTGACGAGAACATGAGGTTGTCTCAGATGGTGATGAGACTTGAGGATGTGGGTGGTCCAGGCTTGCTCCCCGAGTTCCCCTCCCTCCTCAAAACACAGGGGCTACTTGGGCAGTATTCCCAGAGCAGAAGGCAGGCAGGAGATGAGCTCCTAGTCCCTGGAGGGGAGGAGGACCAACTGAGGTTGATGCTGAAGTTGAGGTGAGGCTCAGTGGATGTTAGAGTAGCCATAATTGAGTGCCAGTTGTACACAAGGCCCTGGGCTGAGTTCCTGACACCCATAGGTTCATTGAATTCCCCCTCACCCCAACCACACAGCAGGTTAGTACCTGTTACTGTCCTGTTTTTATCTTAACAACTTGGTTTCAAGTCGCTTTTGTCACAAAGACGATTTTTATTTTGAATCTGTCTTTTTATACCTGGTGGAAAGGTTTCTCTGCTCCATGGCTGTGCTTAAAAAAAAAGGCAATGACCATGAGGCCATAGAGAGTCTCCAAAGAGGGAAGGTGGAGGCGGACTAGGTAGGTGGTAAGGGAAACCAAGATCTGAAAAATGAGGAGACAGAAGGAGAAGTTGGTGCAAAGAGCTGGAGAGAGAGTGATCCAATCAGAGGGGATCCATGCAAAGGTTCTGACCACGTTCCAAGCCGGTGTGGCTCCAGTGACTTGAAATGGAGCTGAGAGGTGACAGGAAGTCACCACTGCAGCCACACGGGATCGGGTGAGGCGTGTGGGCCTTATTCCAAGTGTAGCGGGAAGACTGTACAGGGAGGGACATGGTTGGACAGGTGTTTTCTTGTGGCCGCTCTGACCGCTGGGAGGTGAATGAGTGGAAAGATGCCCTAGGGGAACTGGGCGGCGGGTGTTCCTCAGGAAGCTCACGTGGCCACCTCAGGCCAGAGAGGACAGAGGCCTGGACAAAGGCAGTGACAGTACAAACACGGACAGGCAGGCAGATTCAAGATATTTTCGGAGATGGAACTGACAAGAATCTCTGATGGATTAGATATGAGAAGTGAGAGAAACGAAAGAATCCAGGGTGTCAGAGAAATAACCAGGATCTTGAAAGACCTGCAGTTATTTAAATCCCTTTTTAGAAAAGTCATGTGGATTTTACTGCAGGAGGTCAGGGCTTCTGGGCTCTTCCATGCACCCAGCCTTCATGGGGACACCTGCTTTCCAGTATGCAGACCCTGTGGCTGACCTGCTGGACCGCTGGGGTGTGTTCCGGGCCCGGCTCTTCAGAGAATCGTGTGTTTTCCATCGTGGGAACTACGTGAAAGACCTGAGTCGCCTGGGACGGGAGCTGAGCAAGGTGATCATTGTGGACAATTCTCCTGCCTCGTACATCTTCCATCCTGAGAATGCAGTAAGTAGCCCCAAAGGTAAAGGACACAGGCTCCACCTGAGCTCTCCTGCCAAGCAGGACCACTTTTGTCCCTTCAAGCACCCACGTGGACTTTCTTGGCCCTTTCCTTGGTGAAATCCCAACTCTGCCCCTTAGCGATTACATGATGTTGACTAAGTTATTTAACCTTACTGAACCTCAGTTGCCTCCTCTGTCAAATGGGTATTATAGACGTACTGATCTAGAATTGTTGAGGATTCAGTGTGACGATGTGCCAAAAACACTTAGGAGGGTGCTTGTGATGGCTAAGTGTTCAGTGAGCCTGTATCTTCTTAGCATCTTTAGAATTGTGACTGAGAAGGTTCTGTCTGTCACCAGCCTCCCAGACCTGACTGTGGCCCAGGACTTGTGACCCCTGCAAACTCAAAAGGTCTGGGTGATCTCTTCAACAGAAGTATTCACAATGAATAAAACACTTCAGTGATGTCTTCAGATAAGACTGCTAGGCGTTACTGCCTCATAATGATGTCTTAAAAGTAGACAGTGGGAACATTTCTTACATAAAACTCCCTGGAGTGTGGCAGCTCCTAGTGCACGACTCACAGCAGGAGAGGCGCCTTCCCTGCTCCCGCCCTGCATGTCCAGGGGAGGAGAGATCAGCCCCACCAGTGACCGCCGACCACTCCGCAGTGGCCACCACACCAGGCCTCAGCTCAGGCCCTGAAGAGTATGCTTCTCCCAAGCCCAGGCTTCTCAGACTCTGCAAAAGCCTACACGGGGTCCTTTCCTTGGCCAGAACTCTGTTGCTCCACTTATAACAAAAAAAGTGAGTTCAGTGGGGAGGGTACAGCTCAGCGGTAGACCACACGCTTAGCATGCGTGAGGTCCTGGGTTCAATCCCCAGTGCCTCCATTTAAAAAATAATACTTAAAATAAATAAATAAACCTGATGACCTCCCCCCCACAAAAAAAATGAGTTCAAACTAGATCCAATTAATGTATGATCATTATTTGAACATTTAAAATTTATTCTACTTGACTGTGTTCCTTTTAATGAGTTCATCAGACTCAACGTGTGATGCATTTTGTAATGAGGATAACAGATAAGGAGAATTACTTGTTAGCATAATCATAATTTCAGTATCATGGCTGACGACACTCACGATTGCTTTATATTATCTAATATGTAGTCTGTGTTCATCCATTCCCCATCATCTGGAAGTGTTTTCTCACATTTGCATCAGAATCCAAACAAGGTCCCTACGTTGCGTGGTATTGTGAACTCACTGTGATATCACACCAGGAAGCATATAATCTCCCACTTCTAAAGATTTTAAATTGATCTGTGGATTCAGATATTGTCAGCCTGCTCCATCCATTTTTAAATTCCCCGTCAACCTTTCACCTAAAAGCGTGAGCGCGCAGTGGTTGATGATCTTTGCCTACATACACTGTTTCTCTAGGAATTGCAAAATGGTGATTTCTAAATTCCATCGTTCTTTCTGCATTTTTTGGCTGGAATTCTATTTTTTTTTAATCAAACTTGCTCTCTGTGACTCCTTGATTTCCCTAAAATTTAGTTTGAATGTTTGAATAGGGAAGTCAGAGTAAAGTGTAAGTTCTTTTTAATTCTGTAATTTTCAGAGTGATGAGTTGGTGACCTAGGAACCTCCAAAAGTAACCGGTGAATTTTTTTTATGTACCGTTAGGAACTCATGAATTTTTTAATGTTATAATTTAATCCATTTGTTACCTTTATATAAGCTCTAATGTTCACCTCTGGCCAATGGACACTCCCTTCAAATAACATCAGTCTTTGATAGCTTCCTGCTTTCTGGTTTCAACAAGATGTTTCAGGCTCATCTTGTCCGTTTCTTGCTCCAGCCCTGGAATCAGCCATGGAGCCTGGTTCCTATGAGTGAACATGGTATTTAGAGACCACAGTCTGGGTGAGTTCTCACTGTTACTGGGATATCCTTTGTTTCCAGCCCTTTCTACCAGACAGAGCTAAAATACACTTATTTTTAGAATGAAAATGAAATCATAAATTCATATTGATTTTTCTAATTCAGTTGGAAAAGTTTTTATTTAATTTCTTTGTTTTTGTTTTTGTGTTTGTGTCTCCTCTTATGCTGAAACTCTTGATTCCTAAAGATATTAACCTCATTATATATTTGATTTATTCTATAGTATATGTATGCTTAAGTTTCAAAAAGCATTATTTTAATATTATTACTAAAAATAAAAACAGTTGAATGAATTTAGGGCTTTTTTGAGAAATCTACAAAGAGAACAAACACCATGTTTCCAAATCATTTGAAATCCTTTGTGTGATTATGTCACCAATCTTATATACACAAGGGTTCACTTTTTGTTGCTTTGTTTTCTTAATGGTTTAATTTTATTCCCATCGTGTAACACATGTACATGGTTTCAACATCAAAACTATCAACAAAGATAAATTTAGAGAAGTCTTGTGTCATTTCTACCCTCTGCCCCTTTCCCGTCCCTTCCCCTAGGAGTAATCATTTTTTTGTTAATCCTTTGTTTATTTTTTTAAATTACATAATGAATTGTTGTGATTCTAATCGGTCTTTAGATTTGTAAAAGAGTCAAAAATACTACTTTTAAACATTTTTGGCTTCCCCAAATGTCTTTTTATATCTCTTCTTTGTACCCCTGACTACCACCCACAAGCACCCCTCCCTCCCTCCCTCCCTCTCTGCCTAAAACCAAGGGAAAATCCTGCCTTTGCCCATGGCTTCAGAACATCCTTGAAATTTTATACTTCCCCTTCTAACTGGTCACTGTTAAGCATGGGAGGAAAATGGTCCACTTCTTCTTGCTCTGCAGCATGGCACAGTCACCCCAGGTGGAAACCGTCTGGTGCCCTCCGCATGGGCTCCCTGATGTCAATGGCTGGCTGATGACCCCTGGCTCCAAGTGCTCTGAGGTGCGAGGAGCCAGTTTGATACAATGGAAAGAGCTTTTTGGAATTAGCAAGGTGCTGAGCTAGATATGTATTCTACATTCTGGCCACCTTTTCTTTCTTTCTTTCTTTTTTAATTGACGTGTAGTGGATTTATAATGTGTTAATTTCTGGTGTACAGCACAGTGATTCATTTATTTTTTTATATATAATATATATACATATTAATATACACACACACTATATATATTCCTTTTCATGCTCTTTTTCATTGTAGGCCATTACAAGGCATTGAATATAGTTCCCTTCCCTCTATAGTAAGACTGTGTTGTTTATTTATTTTATATGTAGTAGTATCTGGCTACCTTTTCTGCAGCAGGAAAACAAAACAGGCAAATGCACGCAAACTGGGTACGCTTAAGTTTGCCTTCCTGAACCACGTCCCAAACCAGGTAGATTTGGATTGATTTTAGTTGGGGTGGAAGAACAAACGAGATGAGGATGATGATGACGGTGATTTCCAGATACCCATCCTCTTAACCAAAGAAAATATTAAAAGTATGGGAACGCAGTCAGGCTAGATGCAGCCCCCAGCCCTGGATGCAGTTCTGCTGCCCCTCCACACACTGTCTTCCAGGTGCCTGTGCAGTCCTGGTTCGATGACATGACAGACACGGAGCTGCTGGACCTCATCCCCTTCTTCGAGGGCCTGAGCCAGGAGGACGACGTGTACAGCGTGCTGCACAGACTCTGCAGCAGGTAGCCCCGGCCCCGGCCGCCTCCCGCCCGTGCGCTCTGGAACCTCAGCCTCGAGACCTGCCTGGCCTCGGCTCCCCGGGAGCCGAAAGTGAGGACACCCCGTGCTCCAGGCCACGGGGTGAATGTGGCCATACCTACCTGGTTTATTTTTTAAGAACAGAGACAACTATTTTAAAAGGAACTCTTTTAATGAATTTCATAAAGGGACATGCATTTTATGGGATTTGCTTTTCTTAAAACATACCAAAAAGGAAAAAAAAATGGGGGAAAAAAAAAGCTTGATACCTATCAGACTTCCTTTCAACAGTCCTCCCCTCCAAGCAGACAACCTGCCCCCTTCTGTCCCAGCTCGGAGGAGCTGACCCAACTCAGAATCTCTTTCCTACAGGATGAAGTGCCTTTTTGAATGTTATTTTAAGCTGAAAGTTAATTTTTCTACACAACATATTTCCAGACATCTTTTAGTCTTTTATTGTCTTAGATTCTCTAAGAAGATAAATATGACAATTTTCTAAAACCTGGGAGGGGGTAGGGGGGGTGGCAGGGGATGGGGTCAGTCACAGGAGCCTGTCTCTGGCCACCTATGGCACGTGGCAGGGTCAGGCTCCTGGGAGGAGTCTTGTGACTTGTCAGTGTGTGCTTCAGTTTGGAATGTATCTGCAATTGTGTGGCTCAACACTTGAGGAAACACTTGATTCTTTTATATGATCCTTATTATTTCTGGTGGTGACAGATTTGTCCTGAGGTGACATTTTTCCCCTTGAGAAGTGACATCCTGTCACTTATGCTTTCACACTACTGCCATATTTCTGTATGTTTTTGTTTGTTTGTTTTGTTGTTGTTTGGGGGTAGAGCAGTTACACGAAACTCTAAAACCCTTGGATAGTTTTAAAAAAAAATTTGTTTATTGATTTTTAAATCTTTCCTTTCCAAAAGCTGGATACACACGGAGCTGTTTGGGAATTTTCTTTGCTGCTACCGCGCTGCCACCAAATGGAATTGACCAGCGGCTGTTACACTGTTCTTTGCCACTGTGCCTATGCTCAGAATCTGCTCACTGCTAAGCTGCAGACCTGGCCAGGGTCAGACACGTAGGGGTCCCACCCCGTTGCAGACTGCAGACTGTATCCCTTCCCTGGCAGCAGCCTCGGGAGTTCAGAAGGGAGCAAAGACAGAAGGGCCAGTGCACCTCACAGGTGCAGCGTACATTTTAAACTGCAGTCAGCATCAGATCTCGTGATAAGCCGGCCATTCTCTCTTGGCCTCAACCAGCCACCACGCTGACGAGGCCTACTTCCATCTCTTGGTCTTCTTTTTTGAAGCACAGCCTGTTTCTGAGCCGAGGGTTGGGGAAACGCGTCTAGACGTGGGACTCAGCGCCCAGAACCAGGGAGACAAAGGGCCCCCTCCCTGAGCCGGGGCTTCCTTTGCAGCCTTTTCCAGGGAGATGTTTTAAGCAGTGCCATGTCCCTTGTTTGACAATAAGACAGTCTATAAAGTATTGCTCTTAAAAATAATTTCAAAAGAACCCTTTCGCGTTGGCACCATTGCCTTAGTCCTCTGTGGGTCAGGCCGGAGTTCTGGTGGGAGCGTCTGGCACTAATAAGACTGGAAACTGGGGGTCAAAGTAAAATTTCTCTTTTGCTTTCATTCACCAAATAGTGAAGCCAGCTGCCAATCACATCTTCCCAAAAGCACTTTGGTCCGCAGACCGCCGTGCATTCAGAAAAGAAGTAAGTATTCAGGGGTAACCAGGTCTCCCCACGTTCAGAGTGTTCCAAACCCAGTAATCCACATGCCAGTTAAAATAGAAACAGCCCCTCACTTGGCATTACTGCAGAAAATGACAGTTACGCGGCAGGGCTGCATATGCCATAAACCTTGATTTGGAAAACTAGTCATTAAATGAACCCACTGCCTTAAATGTCTTGAATGTCGCCGTCACGTGTCTGTCGTGTGTTGAAATCCACACGGAAATCAGTCCTGATGAGCGCCTTAGACCCTCACCCCTGCCCCCTTTATTGCTGGCATCCCAGGGTCCTATTTGAAATAAGGGGCAGAGAGGACTGAAATTCTAGAATGTTCCAGGAGAATTGAACCTGCGAATAGTGCCCCACTTCTGATGGAGTGAAGACGCTTGGCAGGCTTGAGCCAGACACTTCACCTCGTAGCCCCTGTGACCGTGAGCACCGTAGCTCTGAGCCAGTGCAGAGCTGTTGGAGAGGGAGCCCGGTTCCTGCCACCGCAGACACAGAATGTCTCAGGAGGGCAGCAAGCCCTCGGAGGGTTCTGGGTTCTGTGCACCTTATTTGACCACACTCTAAAATTCCGTTTCTTATTTTAACCCTTGATTCTGCTTTCTGTACATAATCAAAATATCTATATCGATATATATATATATTTTTAAATCATTGACATGTAAATGAAGCAATAGAATTCTAACCTAAGGCCAAGAAATGAGATGAATGTTTGGGGTTTATGTTTTTTAAGGTAAATACGGGTATTGTTTTTAATTATTACCTTTTATTAAATTGTGGGCTTTAAAATGTTATGAAACTTATCAGCTATTCCTCTGTGCCATATTCTTCCCATGTTACCAAAACACCCCCCAACTCTTTAGCCAAATGAGGAATCTGACCTCCTGAGTTTCCATGGTCCTTTCTGTACCAGGTTAAAATAGAGTCTCCCGGACAAATATTTTTTACATTAAGATCTGGAACAGGATACCATGGGTCGTGGACTCTGGCCCCTGTGATGTTAGGACATCTCTGGCCGGGCCTTGGGTAGAGGTGCCCAGGCACACTTGACGTTGTTACTGCTCTGTCTTCCATTGCTCTGGAATCCTACACGTTGGTCCGTGGTTTTACCCATTAGCTGTCTGTAGACAACACATCTGTGTACTAAAAAGAAACCACCTGTCAGAGCTGATGGTTGGTGGAGAAGCTCCTTTGACATGGTGCAATTTCGATGAAATGACTTTGGAGACATGAGGACGCCCTAATGACACTGACTTGTCATGGTGGCAGCATTGGAACTTTTGGTATAAAAAGGAAATCTGTTAAGTCGATAACCTGGCAACCTTTTCCAACCGTGTATATTAAAGATGGCTTTCTAATTAGATCCAGAACCACACAGCCCTATGGTCACTCGTGACGTTTGTGCCTCTGCTGTCAAAGGTGCTGTGATGGACAGTTGGCATGCCAGGGTTCAAGAGGAGTGGGTGGTTTGGAATGCTTGCATTTACTCGTGCACAATCCGCTGGCTGCCTCTGTTCCTCTTTTACTGTAAATTTGATGTTCCTGTTCCATTCTCCAGGGAGCTTCTCTGTAGACTAACACACACACACATACCCCTTCCAGGTGGTGGGGATGCTGGTGTCTGGGTAGTCATGGATTTCTGTTGGACATCTGAATGTGATAAACATCCAGCATCACTTGGGAAATATGACATGTGGAATGTGCACGTTTCCAGGAGCGAGCATTGTCAGTCAAGAGGTTTGCAATGATTTCCTTCCTGCCAAAAATAAACACATGAAACTGCGCTCTCTTGTGGATGGACTGCTTCTTGGCATCTCTCCTCACTGCATGCTCTGTTCTTTCCCAGCTGCACAGCCTCACGCCGGCACTTTGTGTCTCCCAGTGCCCCAGCTTCTGGAGAGCAGGGGCGAATGGGAGCGGGACTGCAGGATCTCTGGAGCCACGGACCTTGACCCCAAGGGGAGCTGGGAAACTGCTCTGCCCAGTGTTAGGACCCTGGCTTCTTCTCCCCAGACAGAAGCAGTCTGACTCACCATCAAGGATTCCAGCCCCACCAACAGGCTTCCAAGTGCAGCCTGAGGAAACCGTAAGCCCCAGCCCCCAGCCCCATCAGAGCCACACTGTGTGTGCCACCTAAACCCTAGCCCTTGGGTCTGCTGGCTGAGATGCTGTGGTTACCACATGAAGCATGGCAAGGGACCAGAAGGAGAGGAAGGCTATCCAAGACAGTCTTCTCACAGTGGGACATCCACAAATATTGCCCTCAGCCCAGCCTCTGTAAGGGAAAGTGATAGGGACCAGAAGTCCTCCCTCCACCTGCCCCACTCCCCCCCTCTTCCCCACTAGGAAGTCCTGGCAGAGCCTTGGCCACAGTCTTGTCACTCTAAGGACTGTTTCTTCATAATAATACCTAATTCAGATAACAAAAAACACCAGGGTCAACAGTCCTATCCAACGGGTCTTAGCCCCACTTTGTGGATGACAAAACTGAGGCCAGTGAGCCAGTGCTCTGCAGTCTCTTCTGTCTGTCACAGGGATACAGGGTTCTGCCAGGCATGTGTATTCATCCCAAAGAACACAGGGCAGTGTGTGTTTCAGCCCAGGAAACTTCATACTTACTCAGAGACAAAACCCAAACCTCCCACATTACTCTGTGCTATGCCCCTAAATGCCTTCTCCACGATAGAGCAGCTGGTCAGCCAGAGAGGTCACTTCGGCATCCTGCCTGGTTCAGGATTCCTAGGCTGTGTTCCTCTCTGTCCCTCCTCCTCTCCTTCGCTCTGCTCCCCAGTCCCCTCTTTCCCTCCCCTGCCTTCTCTCGAATCGCCCCCTGCCACCTCTGGATCACTTCACAGGTTTGTGTATAAGCAAACAAGTGGTTGAGAATCGAGGGTGCCCCTGAAGCTGGGGTGTCCTGGTGAGTGTCCACAGGTCCTCTGAATAGGTGGGAAGGGAACAGGCCATCAAGAGTTCGCTTATATGGGACTTGGGCATACGGAGATTTCACCTCATGAGGGTTTCTTTGAGCATTCAGGACCTGGGCAGGAAGCTGGGGGTGGGAGGGTGGCAGGAAAGCCTGCCTGGGAAGACAAACCATTAGTCGAGCTTATGGATAAGGGCTGCATCAGGGCCTGGTGGCACGGTGCGCATACCTGGGGTGCTTGCGTGACACACGTCTCCTGTCCCAGGGCTGCCCGTGGATCAAAGCTGCCAGAGCCACCAACTGGCAAGGCCACCAGCCTGATCTCTGAGGAAAACACACTGGACCCTCGGGTCCTCAGGAGGAGGAAATGCGAGCTCTAGGTTGTCCACCCGCTCCGTTACAGCGCCATCTCCTAGCTCAGAGATTCTGGGTGCTGGCTGTCCGTTAGAATCACCTGAGGGCTCTTACAAATACAGATCAAGTCCACCCCAGACCATTTAAACCCGAGACTCTGAGGGTGGGCATCATGTTTTTAAGTGCCCCCAGATGACTCAAAGGTGCAACCAGGGCTGAGAACCCCTGCTCTAACTGTGGAGGAAAGGAAAGTCCCCCCCAAGACTGTTCCAGGCCTGACACTGAGATACAGCAGAGAGACTCTGGGCAAGGCTTAGGGGAAATGACATGCATTGCTTCACCTGAAAGATCAGACATGTGTGCACTGCAAAAAATTCAGAAAACCCATAAAAGTACAGCGAAATCCCACACGGACTCTGGGAGATTTTTCTAAGGCGGGAGTGAGGAGGAGGTCCCAATAAGAGCCCCAGCTGGCTGACAGCTCCCTGCTTCTAGGCTGAGGTGGGGAGCAGGGTAGCTACCCCCACCTCACATTGGAGCACTGGATCACATTGGCTGCCAGGAATAGAACCGATTCTTGCAACCCCACCCCATCTCCCCACCAAGTGAATAACAGCTACTGGCTTGGTGTCCCGGCATTGGGGGTACCATCTTGGCCCCAGGTATGTCTGGATGGGGTGGGTGCACAGGCTGGGCAGGGCCACACAAGGCAATGGTACCTTCTCGTTCGCAGGGAGCTAGAGCTGTTCTTTGGGCCATCCTCGGGTTTAGGCACTCCAGGCGGTCCCACGGGCACAGTAACTGCCCAGTCTCCACCTCCTCCAGCCCTGGCAGTTCCCAGGGTGCCCTCGGGGAAGTCGCTCTTGGGCCATGAGGCCCTGGTGACTGTCACTGCCCCTCCGCGGCCTGCAGCCAAGGGTAGGGGTGACCCAGGGGAGCCCAAGGCTGCTCTCCTCCAGGGCGTGAGAGGTTGTTTCCAGGCAGTGGGATCCAGGAGGCGAGTCAGGCAGGCCTGTCCCAGCCCCACCCCCACCCCCGTCTGCGCTCCAGAGGGCTCACCCCCTGAGGGACCCGGTCCCCAGGAAAGCACCTGTCTGAGGGTGCTTGGATAAGACCTGGGACACCGGGACACTGCCGTGGGAACTGGAGCTCAGGGAACCTGGGGGCGGGGTCTGGGCATGGCTGGCAGCTAGCACCAGCCCCACCCACTCGGGGCTCACCGACGCCCCTTTGTCAATACTGATGCTGGACCTTCAGAGATAAGCCGGAGGAGGGGAGAAAGGAAACAGTAGTGCTGCCCCCACCCCCACCCCTGAGAGAGTCCTTGGAACCTGCTAGGCAAGGTCGGGGCAGGCTGCGGGGGCCTGGGGCGGGAAGAGGTCACCGGGGCAGAGAGGAGGAGGGTCATGGCCAGGGCAGCGCTGGTCAAAGTAAGCCAGGCTCTGCCCTTCTGACTCCAGGCCCAGATCCGTAGGAGTGTGGCCCAGCAGAGGGAGAAAGTGGCAGAGCCCCTTCTTGCACTGGGGAGGAGGAAGGGAGAGGCCAGGCACCCCCTTGTCCTTGTAGCATTCTGGCTGCCTGTGAGCACCACCCTGTGCCCCAGTTTCCTCTCTCTGTGCCAAGAAGGGTATGATCCCACGGGGTGGAGCTTGTCCACACCAGGCACCAAGTGGTGCTGCTCATGTAGGCCTCAGGCCAGGCCCTGGACCCACTGCCATTTCTCTAGGGTCTGGGGTCACAGGTTACAGGGTGGGACCGTTCTGGAGTAGGGCAGTTATTCCCACCTAAGTTCTTCTGGGTCCCAGGGACCCAGAGAATCCTGAGGGGAGGGGACTTGGAGAAGTCCTTTTGCAGTGCCCCCCACTAAGCTCCCGAGGCTGCATGCAGCCAGGTGGTGTGTCCTGCTTACAGCGGGGGTGGAGGGATGTGGCCTCCCCTGCCTTCTTGGAGGAGGAAATGTCAGCTCAGAAAACACCCAAGGAACATCCCCGAAGTCACTCAGCCAGCAGGTGCTTCAGGTGGCATTAGAGCCTGACTTTGGCGAGGACTCAGTGCCAGGCTGGCTTCAGGACAGAGCCCAGCAAAGGGTCCAAACACACCCCCTCAACCTGGATCAGGCACAGGCCACAGAAGCATGTCAACAAAGGCTTATTAAGCAACTACTGTGCTCCAGGCACCACTCTAGACAAGAGATCCAGCAGTGAGCGAGGCCCTGCCCACAAGGGGTTCACCTTGCAGCTGGGACGTGAACACCAAACAAGATCTAAATCAGTGAGGTCATCAGCGTTGGAAGGCACTAAGAGGAAAGTGGTGAGTACCTGGGGCTGCTCTGGCTAAGACAGTCAGGGAAGGCCCCTCTAGGGAGGTACCATTCGGTTTTGGT